CAGACTCGTCGAGGTCTATGTAATATTTCTCTCTTTGTCAACTTTCTTTCTTTATTTGAGCCCAAGAAGATCAAAGATGCTATCTCATACCCTAGTTGGGTCATTGCCATGCAAGAGGAGCTCATTAAGTTTGATAGGAACAAAGTTTGGTACCTTATCCCACATCCATCTGACAAGACAATGATAGGTACCAAATGGGTCTATCGAAACAAGTTAGATGAAGAAGGTGTGGTAACCCGTAACAAGGCTCGTCTTGTTGCTCAGGGTTATAGATAAGAATAAGGGATCGATTATGACGAAACCTTCGCATCAGTGGCTAGACTCGAAGCAATTCGACTCTTTCTAGCCTTTGTTGCCCATAGAGACTTCAAAGTCTACCAAATGGATGTAAAGAGTGCTTTCCTAAATGGAAAACTTCAAGAGGAAGTTTATGTTGAACAATCTTCAGGGTTTCTTGATCCTAAGTATCCAAATCATGTCTATCGTTTGGATAAAGCTCTTTATGGGTTAAAACAGGCTCCCCGTGACTGGTATGATACCCTCCCCTCGTTTCTCATCTTTGAGAAATTCGTTCGTGGAAAGATTGACCAGACCTTATTTCTTAGAACAATTAAAGGACATATCATTCAAGTTCAAATATATGTCAATGATATTATTTTTGGTTCCACTAATCCCTCTTTATGTTTTCGATTCGCTAATCGCATGAAGAAAGAATACCAGATGAGCATGATGGGAGAACTAACCTTCTTTTTAGGTCTCTAGATGAAGCAATCAGATAAAGGCATCTTTATCAGTCTGAGTAAGTATGTCCGTGATATGCTGAAAAAGTTTGATCCCTCTAGCAACTCATCTATGAAGACTCTTATGGCTCCTTCACTCTCTCTCGACAAGGATCCAAATGGAAAGCCTGTAAATGTAACTGTTTATAGAGGAACGATCGGCTCCCTGTTGTATCTTACAGTTAGTCAACCAAATATCATGTATTCTACTTGCTTTTGTGCACGATATCAATCTGAACCTAAGGAATCCCATTTGATCACTGTAAAATGCATTTTCAAATACCGAAAGGGAACTCCTAATTTGGGTCATATTGAGTTTTATGAGATTAGAGTATATTAGGTTAATGTCATATTTGGTATTAAGAAGATAGAGATTCCATTCCATCAAAATACCATGTAGTTGCTAAGGAATGTTAAATTCCTTTATTTGTGGAATTTGTAGGATTTTGAAGATTCCTTTCGTGAAAAAGAATGAACCAAAGAAGGAATGGAATTTCGTCCGTGAAATTCAACATTCCAATTCCATCAGATTCCTCCAGAATATGCGAACCAAACCCCACCTAAGGGTTTAGGTATTGACCTTATAGGTTATTCGGATAGTGATTTTGCAGGTTGCAAGATCGATAAGAAAAGCAACACTGGAGGCTGTCAGCTTCTAGGTGGAAAGTTGGTGAGTTGGACAAGTAAAAAGCAAAACTCAGTGTCTATATCAACCGCTGAAGGTTAAAACGTAACCGCTAGAAATTGATGTGCCCAAGTCCTTTGGATAAAAAATCAGCTTAACGACTACGATCTTCGGTTCCCAAAGCTTCCTATCAATTGTGATAGCACCAGTGCTATTGCAATTGTAAACAACCCTGTCCTTCACTCCAAGACCAAACATATAGAGATCAGATATCATTTTATCAGAGATCTTGTTATGAATGGTGATATTGAACTTCACTTTGTTCCCACTGATTACCAACTCCCTGACCTTTTAACCAAGCCTCTTGATGAAACAAGATTTAACATCTTGATCAGCGAACTTGGAATGCTAAACGCTGAAGATTAATATCTTTTAGCTATATGCATCAATCAGTAAAGTGAAATGATCCAGTGCTCTCACTCTATCACTGAACTCTTGAGTAATTATATCTATTCTCTCTAAGGTATGTATACTTGCTCTTCTTCTTTAAAACTTAGAACTATCACAGAATTTTTTTTCCAGTGATCAAAATGTTTTAAAAGATTGTTTCAGTGATTCTTTCTATCGCTGAACTTTTTAAGTGAGTATATATCTCTATAATATACTTATCTTCTCTTAAAAATCAAAATGATCATTGAACCTTTTCTCTTTCAGTGATTCAAAAGTTTCTAAAAGATAGTTTCAGTGATTCTCTTATCACTAATGTTTCTATGGAAATATATTCTTCTAAGATATTTTCCTTTCTTAAAACAAAATCATCAATAAAGCTTTTTTCTTCAGTGATTAAATGTTTTAAAAGGTTTTTATTCAGTGATTCTCTTATCACTGAATGTGACTTTTTGAATTTCTTAAAACCTTTTCGTTTTAAAAAAAATAGTTAATGAACCGTCTTTATGACGACATTCTCTGTCATCAATACGAGTCGCTTTGAGACATGCGTAAAAGTCTGACACATGCGACCTCCTACAACTTCCATTCAATCATGGATGAGAACGTGCCATATTTTTCATCATGGCGTTTCGTCAACAGTTGTATTTTCCTCTCTTCTATTTCTTTTCTCTCTCCTCCTACCTATAAATATGAGACCTTTCCTCTCATATTTTCTTTACGCTTACAAAAATCTTTGACGAACCTCTGCCAAAAAAAATTGCAAGCAAGAACTCTCTAAGAACGCTTGAATCCTTCGACCTTTTTCTCTAACAACTCTAAGGTCGATACTTATTCTTTAAATTTGAATTTTTCTTCTTCTTCAAATGAAACTGTGTTTGTTTATTTAAGAACTTTGTTCTCTTAAAACACAAACAGTAAGATTAATAGCACATTCTTCTTCTTGGTTATAATCTAAAGTTTCAAAAACACTATTCTTTTTGAAAAAACTCTGATATCTTCTTTGTAGATTTTTTAAAAGAAGTTTTATTGTTCTAAAACTTAAAAAGATCATATTCTAAATTTTTTACTAGTAACAAAAACTGTTATATCTTACTTATTAAACTATAACAGACAATGGCTGCCAAGAACGTGAACTTCTCTATTGAAGACGTGTCTTTCATGGCTAACAACCACGTTGGCTTGTTTGACATTCCTACCAACAAAACCATCTACGAGGATGTTGTTGCCTTCCTCAAAGTGTCTCTTATCGCCTTCGCTCTCACCCATGAACTTGTCATGGTGAGGGAAGCCCTTCAGCAATTTTGGATGACCGTTGAAGTGGTGCAAGACACAGACAAAAATGGTCAACAGGTGGAGAAGAGGTCTTTCACCTTCAATGAATAAAGACTCCAGCGAGCCTCTGAAGTCGCTGTCAAAGATAGAGAAGAACCGCATGTCAGCGGTATGGCAGTTCCTCTTCTCTCACTTCATCCAGAGTATGGGTGGAAAAACTGGAGGACAAGATCAGGCATCAAGGGTCGCTCTCACTATCGGCGTGTCCGTTATTTGTCGTTCACGCCGATAACGCATCAACTTTGCTGCAGTGATCTTCGATGACCTGGCGCTGAAGATGAACAAGTGCCAGAGGGAGAAGGTCATTCCCTACACCCGTTTTCTGTCAATGGAGTTCGCCAAGATCTTCGGTGATAAATACTCCAAGGAAGGTAACCTTTCTATCTGCAAGCTTGGATCCAGGATTCTGGATCACAAGCTGAGAGATGGAGATGTTGCACTTTCTGCCGTTGTGCAATACTCTTCAATTCCTCCTTCTTCTTTTCCTTCTTAAGTGGTCAAGACAAAGAAAAAACCCCCTAAGTCTAACCCAACCACCACAACCCTCTCTTCCAAACGCCCATCTCAATCAACTCTTGGTTCTCCTTCGAGAGCCAAGAAGGCTAAAAAGGGGACAACCACGTCTCTAGCTGTGACCTCTAAAAAGGTCTCAGCTATTGAATCTAGCCTTACCCCCGAGGCACTTCAGTTAGCCTTCCCAGCTCTTCAGTGATATCTGAAATCACTGTCGTACCGGTAGCTCCTCTCCCAACCGCCTTAGTGACCCAAATCACTGAAGGTGAGAATATTAGCATCGCCACTGCTGAACACCCATTACCATCAGTCTCAGCCATCTTCTCCTCCCCTCCATCTTTGGTCTCTACATGTGTCTATGATTCATCAGCGAATGTCCTCCTTGATGATGAGACACCCACCACTGGACCTGAGTCTGCTCCACTCGAGGCAACTCAAAAAACTGGCGCCTATCCTCTCGAAGGAACCATGGAGCACACCAACGTTAATCCTTTAGATAACGCTGATGAACCCTCAGGTACTCCATCTTCCATCCCTTTCATTTCTTATGCTCACTCTCCATTTTTTTCAGGTCCTTTTGAGGAACCATCCATGGAAGATGCGTACGACATGTCTGAAGATGTAAGGCTGCTCTTCCCTGCAGTTGAGACTGTTCTTATCAAAATGGACGAAGTCCATAAGGGAATGCCTCCACGGCACGAAGTAGCTACTGACTTCTCAACCGTCTGGGCTGAAGTACAAGGGCACAAGGACTAGATCTCTATGATGCAGGTGGCTATCCAAGCCAATGTTGAGGCCGTTAATGCTTTATCAAGCAAGGCCGATGAAGCAAACACTCACCTTGCCAAGAAGACGGAGCTGATGCAGCAGATCTTGGTTGTTCTTCAATAGCCAATCTCGGCAGTTGAATGTCGTTGACTGCTGAAGACCGTGACTAGCTCGATCAAACGCGTGAGGCCGCCGTTCTCCTCGCCCGCGCCATGATTAGAGTAGAAGAAATGATAGTGCCCTAGATACAAACCGTCGACCACTCCTTTGGCTATTGCACGAAAGTCATTGCCAAAGAGGGGGAGACAAGGTCTGAAGTTGGTCCCTCAAATGCTGCTGCCGCCCCTGAAACTATTGTTCCATTGATTGATGTTGAGGCTGAAGCTCCTGTAGCTGAAGTTGAAGCTGATGTTGCTGATGACCTTCCAACTTTCTATGAAGCTCCTGTAGCTGAGGATGTTGATGTCGTTCAAGCTGGCGCTGAAATTTGAGATGATGATCTTCCAGTCACCTCTGCAGCTAATGTTGATGATATGAATGACGATGAAGATGATGATGATGATGATGAGGAAGACGGTGAGTCTCCTAACCTTCCTGATACTGGCAACAATCTAGATGATGATGATGATGATGATGATGAAGACGATGATGACAACAACTTCACAATTCAGTACCAGAGACCCACTAGTGCCACGAAAGGCGTCGCCTTCGGGGATTCTACATCCCAGGGGCAGCAAGGGGAGAAGGAGAAAGAGACCACTCAAGAAAATCACCAGAACACCAAGGTGAAAGACAAAGGTATTACTGAAGAAGGAAATCTTAAGGTACTATTCAAACCTTTAGAACCTTTATCTAACGAGTCCTCTAGCCTTATCACCATAACCTCCATGTAGCAACTCTCCATCCCCACAAACTACCTGCGATCGGCTAGAGGAATGGGTCCTTGAAAATCCATCCCCTAGCACTCCCACCGACCAGCAGATGTCTCAACTCAGGGAGTCACTCGACCAAACTAGAGTAAAAATTCTTCTCCGTACCTCTAGTTGTGGTGAGTTCGACTTTCTGACAAAAGCTAAAAGACTCGAGGCACTCAAGGTTGAGGAAGAACTAGACCTTCAACGAAAACATACTGAGGACAGGTTAAACCTGGCCAAGTCTCTTGCCGCCAAAGTTCTTCCAAAGAAGAAATCCAAAAAGATGGTGAATGTTGTCCAGACCCATGCTACGCTTCTTTCTATTGCAGAAGCTGAACGTGAGAAAGCACTAATGCTGGCCGACCAGGACAGAAAATGGAATGAAGATCGTCTAAAAGAGAGTCAGCCCTCAGCCTATTTCAAACATCACCATCAGCAGACGGATGAAAGACGGTGGGTTGCTGGTCTCAATGCTCATCACCAGGGACAATCTTGATGCGGTCACCGAGTATCCTTTCTACCTCGGATAGTACGGCTCCAGTGAATGGCTGGAGATCTCCCAAGCCATTCAGCGCTCAAAATCACGACATAAGCCGATTATCAAAGACATCATAAGCGATCTGATCAAGAAGACGTCAAGGTATGTCGATGTCCCTGAAAAGCTAACTCTATAGAAAGGTGGAAGAAGAAAAAGACCTTCAAGTCCTAATGATGGATTGACACGTGTTCAAACCCTACTGCATTGCATTAAATGTGCATTTAATGCAATGGGTATAAATAGATGAGTGTTCTCTTCATGCAAACGATGTGTATACACACAAGAGATCACACACACATCTAAGAACACTTACGCTTATCTTCAAAGCAAGTTAGAATCCCTTTTAAGTATTCTAAAAGTTTTTACCCAGAAAGAACTCACTTCCTTCTTAGTATTAACAGCAAATATTTTCTCTTTGCTAAGATCATTTATGTGTAACTTAGATTGCTTTATATAGGTTATCTTTACCTTATCTTATTCCGCATACAATCTTGTAAAATCTGTATTGATCCTTCTTTATCAATATATATTTTAAATTTGAAAAGTTT